AGTTCAAAAATTAAAAAACCGGGACACCCCAAAGATGTTGAGTGAGCTTTTTTTAACAAAAGCACCAAGAATATGCTATTTTTTCCAATTGACTTGCCTAAGATCCAGGACAAAGTGCCGCCTTTCGGACATATGGCAGCCCTATAAATATGCATGGCTGATAATATTAAGGGCAGTCTTATGAAAATACATTAAAGCATTGTTTAAGAACATGCCAAATTTTATTTTGTCAAAGTTGGTAAAAAAAATTCCTTCTTGTGACTGTAATACAGTACTAGAAATGGGAGGATCAACACTTCTTTATACAGACTTAAAACTACAAAACACATTGTTGCAGTTTAATACATGTACACAGAAAGAGCAAATGTCTTTACTTCACATGAAAAATAAACAAAAATTTGAAAGGATTCTGGGACCTGCTGAAATGTGATCTGGTAGCTGAATTTTTAGTGGTAAAGGGATTTAAAACAAATCTTGTTCTAAATTGCAATTTTTAAAAAGGTCATAGCTGCCCAGCAGAGGTCAATGTTGTTGTTTTTGTTGTTTACTCGTTTAGTTGTGTCCGACTCTTTGTGACCTCATGGACCAGAGCACGCCAGGCACTCCTGTCTTCCACTGCCTCCTGCAGTTTGGTCAAACTCATACTGGTAGCTTCGAGAACACTATCCATCCATCTCTTCCTCTGCCGTCCCCTTCTCCTTGTGCCCTCAATCTTTCCCAACATCAGGGTCTTTTCCAGGGAGTCTTCTCTTCTCATGAAGAGAAGAGTATTGGAGTGGCCAGAGTATTGGAGCCTCAGCTTCAGGATCTGTCCTTCCAGTGAACACTCAGAGCTGATTTCCTTCAGAATGGATAAGTTTGATCTTCTTGCAGTCCATGGGACTCTCAAGAGTCTCCTCCAGTACCATAATTTAAAAGCATCAATTCTTCAGCGATCAGCCTTCTTTATGGTCCAGCTCTCACTTCCATACATCACTACTGGGAAAACCATAGCTTTAACGATATGGACCTTTGTTGGCAAGGTGATGTCTCTGCTTTTTAGGATGCTGCCTAGGTTTGTCATTGCTTTTTCCCCAAAAAGCAGGCGTCTTTTAATTTTGTGACTGCTGTCACCATCTGCAGTGATCGTGGAGCCCAAGAAAGTAAAATTTCTCACTGCCTCCATTTCTTCCCCTTCTATTTGCCAGGAGATGATGGGCCCAGTGGCCATGATCTTAGTTTTTTTGATGTTGAGCTTCAGACCATATTTTGCACTCTCCTCTTTCACCCTCATTAAAAGGTTCTTTAATTCCTCCTCACTTTCTGCCATCAAGGTTGTGTCATCTGCATATCGGAGGTTGTTGATATTTCTTCCAGCAATCTTAATTCCGGCTTGGGATTCATCCAGCCCAGCCTTTCGCATGATGAATTCTGCATGTAAGTTAAATAAACAGGGAGACAAAATACAGCCTTGTCGTACTCCTTTCCCAATTTTGAACCAATCAGTTGTTCCATATCCAGTTCTAACTGTAGCTTCTTGTCCCACATAGAGATTTCTCAGGAGACAGATGAGGTGATCAGGCACTCCCATTTCTTTAAGAACTTGCCATAGTTTGCTGTGGTCGACACAGTCAAAGGCTTTTGCAGAGGTCAATACTGGGGCCCAAATACTCATTCAGTCGTATAGTTTTGTTTGGACTTCCAAGTTAGTTCAAAAGTAAGTTGGTTGGACTTAAAATGCCAACATTGTGGAGTTGTCAGATTCTCTAATTGTATGTCAGGAGTTCTGCTTTCTTTCCAAGGTTCTTCCTACATTTGATACCCAACGATGAAATCTTGGATTCATTGAAGCATGAAATGCTTGCTCCAAATAAACAGACACTTTTTCATGTGCCCTAACAAAGCCAGGACCTCACATAAAAATAGACGTGATTCTTTTGGCAGTGCTGTGGTGATTAATAGAGTGGAATAATTTATACAATATTATAGTCTGAGCAGGCACATGTGCCACAAATGAAATCTTACTGGAACATAAAAAACTCATCAGTTGGAGTCATCCTACTTAAAGAACAGAGACTTCATGTCACAATGGGGTTGGAAATGTGGTCTTATTGATCATGTAGAGAATGGTCCTTCACTTTGCCTTTGTTCTAGGGTATTTAGTACCCAAAGACTTTCCCTGAAAAGCTCCAAGGATTCTGCAGCCTTGCTTTACATTGCTGAACTGCTCCTAGAGAAGTGGCCAACTGGTTTAAAATTATTCAGGTGGCTTATTTGGAAGTCCATTCATGCTGAAGAACAGGTTGGGCAGAAAAATGGGGTAGATTTTTCTTAAAACAAATACATATTTGGTAGGTTTATTAATTAACTGAATTCATATAACCACCCAATAACTTATGTTTTCTCAGTTGCTCACAATTAAATTCTAGGAAGGGACTGGAAAGTATACCAATGCAAACTAGATTAAAAGATATTTAAAACTGAGGGAAATTACATTTCATTTAATATAATTGTCCTGGTCCAACAAGGCAAGCAGTCCACTGCCTTTCTCCCACCAAGCGTCTATCCACATTTGTGCCAAATTGTTGGAACTGAACAAAAGCAATTTTACACCAGCCACCTCACATGTTTCCATCATCCTAGCTAGTGCATTGGATTCACCTACCTGACAGGTACCCTGACGATCATTGCCTTTGAATCACTGTTGTATAATCCAGGGCATGGGTAGGCAAACTAAGGCCCGGGGGCCAGATCCGGCCCAATCACCTTCTAAATCCAGCCTATGGACGGTCCGGGAATCAGTGTGTTTTTACATGAGTGGAATGTGTCCTTTTATTTAAAATGCATCTCTGGGTTATTTCGTGGGGCATAGGAATTTCATTCATATTTTTTTTCAAAATATAGTCTGGCCCCCCACAAGGTCTGAGGGACAGTGGACTGGCCCCCTGCTGAAAAAGTTTGCTGACCCCTGATCCAGGGAGTTCTTAGGGACCTAGGGCTCATCCATTTCCGTTTGACCCACAGCTTTCCCGAGGAAAACCTACGGCTTACTGCTGAATTGCAACAAACGGCAACCAGATTGTCTGCAGTTTGCTGCAATTTGTTCTGATTTAGCACTAAAGAGTGGGTTTTCCAGGGCAAAGAAGCAGGACAAAGGAAAAACCACTTAGACCCATGCCCAGAAACACATGGGATAAGCAGAAATGTGGATGAGCCTATAGCGTCTGAATAAAGCAGGTCATTTTGAAACTAAAACTCAGTGTTGCTCTGTAAAAGAAAAGAAATCTTACTGAGTAGTTGCATTATTAAGAACAACAAGTGAACTCCCGGGACTTTAAAAACAAACTTCTCTAATTACTAAAATTTAAATGTGCAGCATTAATACCCAACAAAGCTATTATAAATAAAAGCTTTTAAGCAGGGAAAGAATTAAACTCTTGAATTCCATTAATGACATCTGATATTGGAACACATTAAGAAAGCTAAACAACATACTGGTTGTTTACTTAGTTAAATCCATTTATGCAAAGTGTATTAATTTCACCAGCTGCTGTGCCAAAGCTACCCAAGCTTGAAGTCTAGCCTTCTGATTGCAGGGATGTGATTTCCTCTTAAAACAAAACAACTATTGACACAGTAGTGCTTTCACATATGGCTCACATGCACTCCTCATTGCAGCAGAATTAACCTAATAGATAGTGAAATACTCTTAACGTGAAAAGCCCTGCAAACATGTTAGGAGAGGGAAAGATAGATTTTTCTTTAATAGTGAAGTTGAAATAGCTAGAGCTTAGTGTAATTTTACCTCCTGGAATTCAACAGCAGAGAGGGAAATTGACTTTGATTGTGTCTGGGCAAAGGTGAGGAACCTCAGACCCAATCGTGGCCCGCCAGGGGGTTCCAGTTTGGCCCACAAGGCATTTTGCAAAATTGCTGTTTGAAGCTGTCCCCCCATGCTCAAGTAATGTTTAAAGGAGATGGAAGGAAGCCTGCTTGAAACAGTGGTTTTTTTGCAAAACACTTTAAGCAGCAGAATCTCCTTTGAACATTGACTGCATCTACACAAGTAAAAAAAACACACACTCTGAAAACGCTCTGAAAAAACCATTGTAAAGCTTCCAATGGAAAATTTCATAGAGTTCCTATTTTACCTCTACAACGCCATCTAATGTCACAGTGTTGTAAGAATTTATAACGTTTTCTTTTTACTAATGTAGCTGAGTCCATTGATGAGCTATGATAAATGGAGTGGACACTGGTTCAAAGGACACTTTTGCAAAGCCCTTTAAGACAGTCCACATGCTGCTGTTCGAACCTTCAGAGGCTTTAACCAGAGTATGGGCACTGTCTTAAAGCACTTTGTAAATATTGCTCTTTGAAGCAGCCTCCTCCTGCCTTAAAGTTGGCGGGCCTCCACCAACCAATCACATTTGCTCAACAAAGCTGATTCCTGTATTTGTAGCATTTGAAAGCAGCCTGGTCTGCTTTATATCAGTTCTGTGTCATACTATTCATTATTTGGGACAAAATCTGATCTGTTAATTTGCCTTATTCAGATTCAGTTTGTTGTTTAGGACTGACTCTAATCTCTTAAATTCAAAGCTGTGCAGCTCCCCCATCTACTATAATGGGGAATATAAGCTTCACATAAGTGGATGGAATTTGCAAACAAAAGTAAGCATGCCAAATTTCAGGCACTTCCATCTAGAGGTTCTCTTGTAGGCTACATTTTTTTTGAAAGAGATTTCTTTTTTATTTTCTGCCAGAATGTGATCAGGCTATATGTGGACTCATTCTGACATCTTTTATCAGTGCTAGGAACAATTGAAAAAAGTGTCATGGAGCATGTGCAGAGTGCATGTTCTTCACTTCTGAAGAGTCCCGTATGTTGGGATTTAAGAGCACAGATGCCCAGAACAGGGCAATGTTTTCATACAGACGTGATGCTAGATGTTTCTTTGTCTAGGAACTGAGCTTGATTATGACATCATATTGCACAAATTACATCACATAAGGAAAATCAAGGTGAAGCATGAAGTATCAGAATAAGTTGCCCCAGGAACTGTTTCCAAACATTACAGCAGTGAAAGAGAAGCTTCAGTGGACCACTTGTCTCTCTGTATGTGTGTATGCAGCCAGCTAATTAACTTGCATGCTGGTATAGCTGTATTTATTGTTAATGTTTTTAAGTGCCCATGTTAATATGCTGCTGTATTGAATTGCAGCAATTCAAGCTGGTTTCCTGGAGATTATAATTGCCCAGTAAGATCAAGACTTTTTAATGCATTTTTTCAATTGTTGTTTAAAAGATTGGGCTGATTAAAATTTTCCTTATTTTGGTTCCTTTTCTGTAGATCAAGAGATGGCAGGACAGGGCCAGTGTATCGCTGTTGTTGTTGTTGATATAGCAATTAGGAGAAATCAGTAAAAGACCAGATATCCATTATGCTAATTATATTCATACATATCCCATTGCTCCTTCCTGCTGGCTGTCTAAAATCTCATTTAATTTGAAAGGTTTGCCTTGAAGAATTATCAGCCTAGTAACAAGATTTTATTTACTCGACTTAAGCTCAGGGAAGCCTTATCCTCATTAAATCCCACCTTGGGGAGGGGGGCGGGCGAGCTTGGTATTGGCAGTCAACTTTCCAATTTCCAAGGCATGGACAAAAACTGGACGAAGTGTTTAAAAGGCTGTCAGAACATCCCCCAAACAGAAGCATTTTTCTAATATAGTGGTACCTTGGTTTTCGAACGTCTCCGTTGACAAATGTTTCGGTTTTCGAATGCCAGAAACCCGGAAGTAACTGCTTCAGTTTTCAAACGCTTTTCGGAAATCTAACATGCCATGCAGCTTCCATATTGAGTTTTCCGTAAGTAAATGCATCTGTAAGTAAATGCTTCAGTTTTCAAATGTTTTAGAACTCGAACGGTTTTTTGGGATGGGTTATGTTCGAAAACTGAGGTATCACAGTAACAATAAAAAAGGAAAGGAAAATGGAGATACTCTATAATCCAGCTTTAGTTTGGTGTTCCGACCTCCTCCTGTAAGAACATAAGATGAGCCTGCTGGATTAGGCCCATGGCCCATCTAGTCCAGCATCCTGTTCTCATCAACCAGAGACACAGATGTAGATTTCCACCAGGTTTGGACCTTCTGGGCAAGAACAGGGGAGGTGCTAAACCCCAAATCTCTTCCCTTATCTCCCAATGAGACCCTGGAAGTTTGGTTTGCACCACACCATGGTTCAATGGTGGGTGATTCCCATGGAGTGAGGTTGGATTCTTTCCTAAATGGATGGAGTACCATTCACCAGCAGGGGCTGAGGGGAATGAGGAAATGATCCTTATCCTGCTTCCATGTCAACCCCACTGTCCACTGTAGTCAATAAAGATTAGGATTAGACCTTTTTTCACCCAACACCTTGTAGCCAAGGCCACAGATTGTGCCTTCCTGGGCAATATAATTTCACTTAGTAAAATATCTTAGAACATGTTTTATAAATCTATAAATCTATAGCACCTAATTGTTTTTTCCTCAATTGCCTCTAGGGGTAGGGGGGGCTATAAAATCTGCCCAATAAGGGTTTTCTAAATTGTCTTTAGCTATGTGGAGGGGTTAAAGTAGATCCCTGGATATGGGCACGTCTAAGGATATTTGAGAGTGCAAGAGGCTGACTGGAAATCATTATGCTATCATTAGCTGCTTGCTTTTTGTTGCGCTTAGAGGTAATTGTGCTTAATGCTTTGATTATTTCAATTATACTGTGTACACAGTGGAGAATTTGTTTTTGTACATGCTTAGCTTGGCTTATGACTTGACAACTGGTGTATTAAGTAGCTTGGACTTGATGGGTATGACAGAGCAACAAACTGTTTTGTTAACCTTTCCACATTTTCAAATCTTTTTCACCTGGGTCTTTCAAGTTTAATTAACTTATTTAAGTTGCTGGTTTTAATTCCTTTTGCTATCGATGATATAAAATAGTTCCCAAAATGTATCTTCCAAGAATTAAAATATTTTTTATTTCTTTACTCCCCGCCCCCCTTCCCATGCTTCAGTTTATCTTTGATTCCTTTGCCCCCAGCCTTCTTTAAGCCACATTAGGAGGCAAAGGAATCCTGGTGGCTACCACACTCCTGGTTACAATAGAGATGTAGTAGAGAAGGAATACTTGCTCCCGGCCCATTTTCTTTATGTTATGGTAAATTTCTGTTGTATTGAATGAAGTTGTTCCAGTTTCTCAAGGATGTCCACTTGTGCAAATGAACTTCCCCTCCCTCTCCTCCCTCTAGGCATTCCAAATCTACTATATGGCTTCTTGCAACCTCCTGGAGCAGATTTGGGGTGCCAGTGCAGAGAACACATGAGAGGGAAGATCCATTCTGAAAGCAAGACCTTCCACTACCAGGAGGACTTCATGGGATACAGCCCTATGTTTCCAGACCCCTGACTTGGAATAGACATGGCTCTGTAAAGATTCTAAAGACACTTTCCATCATGTAGGCTGTATAGCATATTCTAACTTCCTGTTCAATCCTTTCTTACATTCCTGAACTTTTATTTTTCAGGATTCCAATAAACATTTGTAAACAGTTATGGTTTTAGCTTTCTGTGAAGATCCAATTCTTCTATCAATTTGTTGGATGCTAAAGCACTTAAACCAGATGGTCCATAAATAGACACCAACAGGTGCTGTAATTAAAAATATTTGTGTGTCGAGGTCCCCAAGCCACCCCCCAAATAACTCACAACGCACACTTAATTTTTGTTTAAGGTTTTTGGCATAATTTTGGTCACAACTTTATTTAAATACAAAACCGTGAGTGGTTGTTTAGGCATTGGTTAAGACTATCTGTCCCCCCGCCTGGGGACAGAACTGACTTCCGGGCACCACCGAAAGACAGTGCGGGGGAAAGCAAGTCGGAGAGAAATGGAGCTGCGTCACAGATCCTCAATTCTCATCCGCATGCTCCCCGAAGGCTTGCCGGCCCTAGTCCCATTCCAGGGATTGGACGAAAAGATGGCAAGCCCCAGGATTCCTTTAACGGAATTCCCTTTCCGCAGCAACCATGGAGGGGCAGGCCCAGCCTATCCTAACGCCTCCTCCACCAGTTTATAACCAATGCCTAACCGCAACCTTACAAGTTGTGACGATTTGCTACGCAGTAGGCAAAAACCAAATGGCCCAGCCAATCAGCCAGATGGACAAAATTCCTACCAGGCCCCTGCCCCAACGGCAGACGACCCCATGACAGGCATAGCAAGGTCAATGCAACAACCCCTTACTCAAGGGCGGGTGGGCGGGTGATCCGTTGCACGCAGCAAAGAGAAAGCTCCAGGCTGCGTGCAGAGTATTAAAACGGATCACCCGCCCACCAAAATTGCAACATAACTTTTACCCCAGCAACCCAGTGAACCAATCACTGCCCCAGGCCATCTTTAGAGACCCTGCCTGGTAACAGAGGGGTGGCTCAGCAGACCCCACCGCAACATGTGCTCTCCATGAAGGAGAACATGCTTTCCATTCACTCAGAATTGAGATTGATATTTCAGGTATACAATGGGTGATATTTCAGGTATACAACACCACTATAGGAAGGCATTGTATAATTCAGATAGATGGATGCTGGAGGTGTAATGCGAGAAGTGCCTCACTATGAGCATGGCCAGTGATAATTCCTTTCTGGCCTGAGGTTGTTGTCCATATCAGCTTTGGATTGGATTGGTACCTTGATACTTGCAAATGTAGTGTGCAGACAAATGGCAGGACAACAAGTCACTAGGACACTTTGAGCCTGGAAGGATGAATACACAAGACCTTAATACCTTTGTTATATTTGAACCTACATAAACACCAACTTTACATGGATACCATATCTGTATGTAGTTGTAAGGGTGCTTACAACTAAGGTAGTTGTACTGGTGCTTATTGTTTTGCTAATTTGAGCTGACAGTTGTTGCCTTTCTTGTATGTTTGTGGTTCACAGCAAGCAGTGGCAGACCTTGGGGTCTCAACTTTCAGTGGCACCCTGTTCCACACCAGAATTGGGTGGCCCCCTCTTGCACTCCCCTGTGGCCGTGTTCTCCTAAATCTGTCTTCATTCAGGTAGGTAGCCAGCTCCCAGCTGTTTTGCTCCTCCTCAGTCCTTTTGAATGCTGTGCTGCTCTGATCTAAGAGATGAGCTGCAACCAAGAGCAAACAGCTAGTTAGTAAGGAGAGAACTTAACCAACATCCCCATTTTGGATGACCTGCTGAGTCAAATGCAATGTGACTGCCCAAAAGACAGGAGAAGCAAAGTGGCTGGGAGCTTCTCTCTAGGAGCCCACTCATTTGCATGAAGCCAAGGTTTAGCTTAGCATGAAGTGCAAACCAGGCCAATAAATGGTAGTTATTCATAAGGAAAAAAAAGGTATCTAATGCGCCTCATTCCCAAACTGCCTGTTTAATTGCACAGCCAAGTACCCAGTTGTGAGCAAACTCCAACCATATGGTTATACATCCATAGCCGTTGAGAATCTTGGTGGAATGGAAAGAGGGGCTGATATGTGTGTGTGTGTGTGTGTGTGTGTGTACTGATACACTGAATATTATTTCATCCTGCATTTTGACTTCCAATAGAATTACAAAAAAAGGAGTATTTCCACTTTGCTTGATTTAAACAACTTGCCTGTCTGCTCCTACTTTTGCAATCATGATAGAAACAGCAGCCTGCAAATTCAACAGGGACTTCTAGTTAAATTCATACTCCTTCTAAATGTATACAGGCCTGGCTCAGTATTTTACCATGACAATGAGGACTTATTTAAGTATAAAAGCTGTTAGGGTTTTTTTTTATCCTGAAAGTTTCCTTCCAACCCCCCCCCCCAAAAAACTAAGCACTTAGATCTATCATTAGGGATGTGTTAAAGGATGGTTCCTATACATTTTATATAAAACACATACTATTTTCATGGCAATTCTTACTAAAGAAAGAGAAATACAGGTGTTTCTGCTTTATTTGAATAGTCACATAAAACTGAAGGTAGCTATGCTAGAAAAATTCCAGAATCCAAGCAAAAAGACACATAATAGCATGCAAACTTTCAAGTTCCCCCGAACCCTTTGTCAGGCTTGACCACAACGAGTAGTCAGTGCAATGACCACCAGATGTTGTGGACTAGAATTCCCATCATTGTTAGTCATTGGCCATGCTGGCTGGGGCTGATGGGAACTGTGGTCCAACTCCAAATCATCTGGAGGACAGCATATTTGCTCCCCTTGGGCTCGATAAAGAAGGCAAGGAACGGGGTGGGGGAGAGAAAAAGGTTGGTAAAGAATCTAAATTACACCTTACATTAATTCATTATTGTTTAACAATGAAAGGGGGAACAAAATAAAAAAATTCCATCCAGTTGCACCTCAGAGACTAACTAACTAATGAAAGGGGGAGACTGATAAGAAGGTTGTATCCAATGCTGCTGTTCTGCTCATGTAGCAGACTTCAACTCATGCAATGGGAATTCCACCCCCTCTCCTCTGTAGTCCCTTGTGCACCCACAAAATCTGCTCCAGAATTTGAGGATGTGTGGCGATTATCCACATTCAAGACAGTTGAGAAACACTTCAAATATATGTTTCATGCCTCTTGACACAATGACTGGGATGTTTTGCATAGGCCATACGCATCATTTTTATTATTCAAGAAGTCTTGATCTGAGAAGCAGCAACCCAGGAGACCTTCAAGAGGAAGCCGTCATCCCTTGCCCTCCCAAGTCACATCCTCCTCCGCCTCCTCTTCCCTTTACTGTGTTTGGTGTTTGAGGACTGGAACAGGATCAAGGTGAGGGTGACTCAGAAATGCAGCAAACACCAGCCTTTGGTGCTAGTGGCGTCGTCAAGGCTCAATAGCAGTAGCAACAGTATAAGGTTGCTCTTTAAATGAAGACGGAAAGAATTCACTGTGAAAACAAAGCAAGAGGGAGGCACACGGGATATATTCCGACTCGAGGAATAATACACAATAGTTTACCACACAATATAAAAAAGGCTTTACTGCACTTCTATTATGAAGCTACAAAGGAGTGTTCACAGCGCATTGCTGCCTTGCAGCTGTGGGGGAAGCACATACGGTTCCAAAAGCTGCCACAATGAGCTCCTCGTGGGAACAATGAGCTCCTCGTGGGAACCCACCCTAGCAAACAACAGAGCTGTACTCCTGCAGATAGCAGTTAGAAGACACAATACTGCTTCTTCCCAATGTTTTTATTGTGCACGCTGCACTCATTAGAGAGCATATTATGGCTCAATACGGGATTGTGTGTTGGTGCCTTGTCCATGTTATAGTTCTCAAGTAGTTAGTAATATTATTAACATTGTGCCTTTGGGTGAGCAGCACAGACAAATGAAGTAGGATGAATTTCACAGGGAACCATAATGCCTGAGCGATAATGGTGGTGTCGGTGAAGAGGTGGAGGGAATTGGTTCATGCTCTGCCGTGGTCTGTCTCTTTAAGAACTGCAGCCTTCCTAGTTTCAAGGAGACCATGACACAGGAATCCCAGCGCATTTATTATCCTCCTGGAACTGACCATGTTAGGACTGAAAGTCAGAACATTGAAATGTTCTGGCAGCATATTAAGAGTAGAGGAACTACAAGGATGTGACTCCATGACAGCTCTGCATCACCACCTCCTCTTTCTCCTGCTGGTTATTCGTAATAAAAGAGAAGATGCAGATGATGGCTCCACATCACTGACATTTTTAAAAGCTGCACTCGCATGTCTTTCGCCTGTGGGAAATGTGGTAGTTTGATTGTTCATTGGAGCTAACTATTGCCACCCTGTTCAACTGCTGCTGAAAGAATTGCACTGGCTGCCAAACAGCTAGCAAGCCAAGGTCATGGTGTTGGTGCTGGTGTCCAAATCCCAATACAGCTTGGGGCCAGAATACTGCTCACCAGGAGATCCATCCTGTACATTGTCGGAATCGAACCTCTAGTATGGTGGCACTTACCCTTTAGGAATCCCTCCAACTGAATATCAGACAGGCGCCATCATTATTGCATTCTCTTTCCTCTTCTAATGAGCCTTCTAAGTGGAGGCTGTTTTATCCTAGTCAGTATCTGTGTTGGAGTTCAATTTTCTTTTAGATTTGCCATTATTTTTATATATGCAGTTGTTTTTATAGATGTTTTTATTGTACTGCAAAATCAAGGTGCTTTGTGGATAAGGATCCATCATCAATACATAAACGACAACCAAAGGTTTTTTACAGTGTTGCTGTTCTGCTTATGCACCAGACTTCGACTTGCACAGCAGCTTCCCCCTCCTCTCCTGCCCCCTGGGATGGGGGACCCTGAGGATTTTTGGGGGGTGCACAAGGAAAGGAGGTGAAGGTGAAATACCATTGCACAACTTTCACAGCCTTGAATAAAACCCATAGGGTAAAGACTCTGAATAGCTTTGATGAGGATTTTCCTCCACACCCCACACCACTTATGTGAGCGAGATCTAACCTCTAAAAGAAATGAAGTACATTTATCACAGTTTAATTGGTGTTATGAGTAAACA